GCTGCGGTCCGTTTCATGCTTAATCGCGCATTTATCTGTAGTATATGTCACGTATACTATAGATAAATGTGCGCTTAAGCATGAAACGGACCGCAGCCTAAGACGCGCCTAAGTCCCGTCGTTAAGTCCGGAGGAGATACGCGTGTTTGTTTGCGTGTCTCTCTATGTGTACGCGCGCGAGAAAGACAGGAAAATACGCGGTTCGGCAGAGCTAGCGCGAATAGTTCGCGAGAGGTTACGTAAGAGCGCTCGCTAATGGGCAAGAGACGAAGAGCTGCACACGCCGAGATACACAAGAGAGAGAGAGAGAGAGAGAGAGAGAGAGAGAGAGAGAAAGAAAGAGAGAAAGGGAGAGAGAAGAGGGATGATGTGCGCGTGAGCAACCCTTGTGCTCGTGTTGGTGCAGCGAGAGAGCAGAAGATTTGCACGGTTCAACAAACGCCTCTCTCGCTTATATACGTGCTTATGTATATACGTGCAAAACTATATGTACGAATATCCTGAAGTAAATTGCACGTGTACATAGGACGTGTGTACGCGCCTGTGTGTTTGTATAGTACATATACGTATGTATATATACATATATACGTATACATATGTATATGTATGTGTATATATATATATATATACACACACACATATATATATGTATATAGATACGCTGTTATATACGGAATCCTGACCAATCGTAGCTCTTTTTAACGATGACCAGCTGAATAGAAAGAACAGCGTTCGACGAAATTTTTGCAGCGTCCAGAGTTAATTGAAATTAATCATCGCGTGGTCGCCTCGACTGGCCAACGTAATAATCGTTTATTTCGATCGCGCTAGACGATCACGAAGACAATCTATTTAGATTATTATTGGAACACAGCGTATGGCACAAGTAATTAATTCCAATATCGTCTTATCGCCAAAAAAGCACAACGTCTATTTTTATCGGACAACGATCTTTTCAAATTAGATGGTTCTTGAAAAATTAAACGTAAGTATACATAAGTCATAAGAGTTCAAGACTACTTTAAAAAGAAATATCCGTTGTATTATTGTCTTTATCGTTTTTGTGTGACACACAGTCTCGAATATGTGACAATTTGGCCACGTGGGAATGAGAAAAAAGTGCGAAATGAAAGATTGAACGGGTCAGAAATAAAAAAAGTATACAGTTTGGGTATTTTTTTGGGGGGGAGAGATAAAATATGTCTTTTTTTTTAACCCTGATTACTCTTTCTGGGATATTTATTATTTACTGCGCATATTTAAAATATATGCGGAGATGATTCTTTTATAGAACTCTATATTTATTATCTAACTCTATATATATATATTTAATTCTAAGAAACACGAGATTGATCATTCTCTTTACAATTTACAAAGAGATTGCGCGATGGCGGAGATACGAGCAAAGTGCATGTGAAATTTTCGTCTGTCCACGATAGCGCAGTATTTTCGAAAATGTTAGAGCCTCGTTTTTTTTTTTTCGTCTTCTGGGAAAACCTAGCCACTTTAATTCGCGGCGATGGAAGAAGACGGAATGCGGATTCGTCTCTTACGAGCGCACTACCTACTGACCAAGAGC